CAAGGGCAAGAATTGTGGTTTGTTTTATGCAGAGCTGTATCCCCAGTGTCCCAAACTGTACTTGGCACAAATATTCAATGACTGAAAAATGAAAAGTACCCCTCTTCAGTAAATGCTTCCATTTTTCAAACCCATGGAGAGGAGTAGAGATAGACCCAATTGTGAGGAATGCTAAGGAGTTAAGGATCCATCCAGGTTTCTTAATATTTGATTTTACTTTAAAATAATCTGGTTAGGGGCTCTTTGATTAAGTTTCTAATCACAAAATATTTTTGATAATAAGTTAATACATGCAGCATGTACAGAAGTACAGACAAGCCAGGCATAGTGGCACAGGCCTATAATCCCAGCTCTCTGGGAGACTGAGGCAAGAGGATCCCAAATTTGAGCCCAGCCTGGACAATTTAGTCACTTAGCAAGAATCTGACTCAAAATAAAAAAGGGTTGGGATGTAGCTCAGTGCAAAGGCCTTAGGTTCAGTCCCCAATACAGTCAATTGTCCAATGCTCTCCAAATGATTTGTAAGCTAAAGTTTTTGAAGCCTGTCAGAAACTTTTAACTCTGAGTTCTCTCTGAATTTCTCCACCAGAACAATCCTTCAGTGACCTGACAGAGCAATAACCACTTCTTATGATGCGTGATTAGGGAGGTTGACTGTGTTGCACTGGGGACATTTCTGCTCCCCTTGGTGTCACCCTGCTCCGTGCTTGTCCTCAGGGATCTGACGTTCTAGGAGCTTGGTAGGGTGCCAGTTGGAGATCTCAGTCCTCTGCCTACTCTCTGTGGGCTTGCACTCCCCGGAGCATGGCAGCCTTGTTTCAAGGAGGAGCTTATTGTTCAATCAAACCTTTGAGGCTAAGGGGTCTCTGGAGGAAAGGGTTCCCTGAGCTGTTGCAGATGCTGGCCAAAAGGTGAAGGCCTGGTCCTGGGCCCTTCCCCTAAGCCGCCAACAGCATGACCACCAGCATAGCAGTTGGAAAAGCAACCACTGGACCTAAGGGGTGAGGGCATTTTATTGTGAAATTGGTGGCAGAATGAACATAAATTGTTTACATGGAATCTATGTGGGCTGCAGAAGAGGGGACAGGATGACACAAAGACAGGGAGTTCCTCCAGAAAGAGAAGTTTTTGCTGCTCCTTGGTTGAGAGGTTCTAAAAGCAGAAGGTGATATGGCCTTGATGCCTAATCTTGAGCATACAGGGGAGGACTGTGGAGTGTTTTCTTCCTTTCCTTTGTTAATTTAGCCTGAAGCTATCAGTCAAAATTATCTCTTTCTTCCTTCCATTCTCTGGTCCATAGCTTAATTGAGGACACCTCAGAATTCTTATCCTTTCTAAAGGATGAAGCTGCAGATCACTTAAAGCCCGACCTCCAAAGTTATCTGGTGACACTTTGCCACATCTGAAGGGTCAAAGCAAGTCACAAGGCCAGCCTAGATGAAGGGAACAGAAACAGATTCCATCTCTTGATGGAGAGAGTAGCAAGAAATCTGAAGTCATCTTTCATCTAAAAGACGGGAACTGACAGTTATTGAACAATTATGTAAAAACTCTTCTCCAATTTCATCAGTTCTAAAATGCACATTTTCTCTAACTTTTGTGAAAAAAAAATCATAGATTCACAAGCAGTAACTAAGTTAGTAGTACAGAGAGGTCCTGCATACCCTTCTTCCAATTTTCCCCAATGGTTAGACCATGCAGAATTTTAATAAAATATCAAAGCCAAATAACTGACTTTGGTACAATGTGTGTGGCTCTATGTCATTTTAAAAGTGAATAACTGACACGATATGGGAGATCAGCATACATATATCATCAATTCTTTTTTTTCCCGTATTAAGTGTATTGGTACATTTTAGGTATAAAATACAGTTACATTCATCATTGGGATCTTGTACCTTTACATGAGTCTCTTGGTGCTTATTTTTTTTCCCCTTCCCCTGCCCTCCCTTCACCCCCTCCACCCTTTGCTATTTGCAAAGACCTTGTTTCCATTTTTTTCCTCTTCTCATATTTTTTCCTTTCCCTTTT